TTTGCGCTTTTTTGTCGGACATTTCCGTCCGAGCGAACCGCAGTTTACCCGTTGGTGGCTTAGCGTAGGGGATGCCCAGATATTCATACACCTCTACCTTTAGCCCATTTGACTCCTTCCGATCTTACTTGTTCCCAGAGACTATTTGCTAGCCCTTATCTGCAAGATCCTATGAAGGAAAATGTATGCTCATACATAACCCCTTTATATACCTTTTAAGCTTGCAGAGAACTGACCCTGAAGGCCGTAAACCCTGATGTCTCCCCCAATGACGTAAGCCACCACGATAGTTTTGTTCGGTTACCACACCAGATATTTGCACCCACGTCAAAAATGTATTTCCAATAACTTGCATTGAGATTATCTAATTAAATCCTACGTTATGTTTCTCCCCACAAATTCAACTAGTGGACAGTGAGTAAATTTGCTTGCGCTACCGTATTTGTCCCCCTAGCAATAAACTCCTGCACGTAGACACTCAGACAGTTCACAGAGGAAGTCTCAACTTCTTCTATTCAGTTACTTGTGCCTCGCATATTCTCGACCATTCAGATAATACTCAAGGTAGAAAAGGGCAATCAGATGAATGAGAACGACCAATTTTTTTACGTTTGTTACACAAATGGACCCTGATGTATATTCGCTTACTAGCAGAACACAGTGGCAGAAACGGGTAATGCATGCACAAGAGTTTGCAGCATTTATAGGATACAGTCATTACTGCAAACAAACAGCGACGCTTAACGTTAATTGCCTTTTTCTGCGTGGATAGTTTGTTGGACGGCACGCGGGCTCTGACTTGTTGAATTTTGATAACAGGCGGTGGGCTCGGGTGTGATGAGTGCTCGGTCATCTGGCCCTCCGGTGTTGGCGTGGTATGACGCGGTGGCCTGTCCGTTCCTCATGTAGCAATTTGCTTTGGCCAAATTTGGCCTTAATACCGAATATGGATTGGTTAACTCGTTGCATTTGTTTTTGGATTGGGGGCCTTGAACCATGACTCAAGTAATTCTCGGCTTACTCAATTGTTACCTCTTGCGAGAATTTCGGCCTCATCAAATTTTAATGTATGGCCGGGTCTCGTCGAATGAGCCGC